TTACAAAGAGTGGCCCCGGGGAGTGTTCACTTGTTCCTATTCTTGTGCCCACCTTCCTAGAAGTCGGAGGCCCCAGGGGTTCCTGGAAGCGAGACTGTTTGGGGCGGGTATCCCATGCTTAGAACACTTCCAGTGGGAGTCAGTTACTCCTGAGTCAGGCCCAGCGGTACAGAGCAATGCTGCGGACTCTTCGTTGACACAGTTGCAGTGAAGATTCAGGATATACATTTGAACAAGGATTAACCATTCCCAGAACAAGTAGCTCTGGCCTGCTCTCCTCCCTGCATGCAAACCCCACTGCATATCTGAACGCAAACAGGCACTATTTCCTCTCTTCTCTCTCCACCTCCCTCTTTCTGACAACTAGTCTTGCACCAACAGAGTCCAGAGTTGGTGGGGTTCGGCCTGCAGGGAAAGTAGCCCACCTGTTAAGGGACCCACTAGGAACATCGATCCACAGGCTGAGTAGGTAATGACTCGGTGAGGCCTTTGTCATCTCCTGTCTGATCCTTCAGCTGGGGAGAGGAAAACTAACCCGCACATACCCTTGACCCAGTATCTGCAGAGTTTGAAAACTGCGAATGGACCAGGGGTGCAACCCAGTTGCCCACACTGGCCTCCCCTCTTTAGACAGACAAGTCACAGAAATTATGGAATTAGCATCTTGATCCTGGTCTGGGCTCTGTCGGAAAAGACAGATGCATGAAAAAGACAGAAGGATGAGAAATCATGTTGGCTCCATCCTGTGAAAGGCCAGGAAGAGCCCTCTGAACCCTGGGCATTTGGGAGCTGTGGGAATGTGCACTTGAGGGGAAGCATCAGGGTCCCCCGTGAATAGAAAAGGCGGCCAGGCAGGTAGGGGGGTGGGCCCAGGGTTACTGGAGAATGTCACATCCGAGGCAGAGACTGGACTGCTCCAGATTATGGCTGTCATGGGGAGAGAGCTGGGGTCACCCAGAGCATCTGGTTTCTCTAGAGGAGCTGACACATAAGCTGGGTTTTTCCATGAAAGTGTATGTTAAGTGTTGGCACCCCAAACTTTAAATTGAAAAGGATCTTAGGGCAAAACCAGGTGATGCAAGTGGTAAAGCATCTGCCTGCCAATGCAGGAGACTCAGGAGACTCGGGTTCGATCCCTGGGTCAGGAAGATCCCCTGGAGGAGGAAATGGCACCACACTCCATTGTTCATACCTGGAGAGCCCCATGGACAGAGGAGCCTGCTGGGCTATAGTCCGTGGAATCACAAAGAGTCAGACAAAACTGAAGGACTGAGCGCAACCACGGGGCAAAACAAAGCCCTGTGTGGACTGGCTTCTCCTTCCCCACCAGTTTGCAATCCCTGCTGAAAACCGCCAGCAGCTGGTGGGGTTTTGGGAGAGGAGGGGTGGGGGCACTGGGCTCCTGTCTTCCTGCTTTCAGTTCCGAAAGCCATGTTTTTTCCAGGGCCTGTTGCCTTTCAAGGTAATTTGATTTTTCTTTTCTCTAGGTGCCTTTGATCCTCTAAGGTTGCAAGGCATAGCTACTATTTTATTTGCAGGCTCTGATGATGGGAGAAGGATTGTAAAAGCTGCTGCCTGAAGACACAAGCTCCCTCTGGGTTGTTGTCAAGTGAGTTTCCAAGGTCTCCAAGGGAGTGGAGAAAAGTGCATGGGGAGGAAGAGGCTCCCAAATGTTCTTGGGCCTCCTCGAGCTGGGATGACCTACTCCCATTTGCTGACACTGGGCTGCCAAAGCTAGAAACTAACTCTCTCTGGTGGGTGCAGTCACATACCCATCTATCCATCTTCTAGCCATCCTTCATCCATCCATCCACCCATCCATCCTCCGTTCATCCATGCATGTATATGTGGATGTTACAAATATTTACCAAGCTTTGCTCATGTGTCAGGATGGTGCTGGGTGTTGGGGTGAGAATGATGGCTGGATCATGGCCCCTGTCTTCACAGAAATTGCATTCTTGCTCCCGCAGTTATAATGTACACATCCAGCAAGTGGGGAGGACATGGAGGCCTAGAAATGCCATCCACTTCCCTGGATGGTGGGCAGCAAAGAAGACTTTACTGCACAGATGACATATATACTGGGTTTTGAAGTTTTTTCAGTTTTTGAGCAGACAAAAGGAGAGAAAAGTATTAATTTATGGAGGATGGAATAGCAAGAGAGAAAGATGGTGGCCGCGTTCCGAGCCCAGTGCAGACTCTGGGCAAAGAAATCAGTAAAAAAGCAAGGGGCATCCTTCCCAGACCCTGGACACACCCTGAGAGTGCCTAGCATGTTTGGTCTTTGGTGTAGAACATGGCCCTGCAGGCTGTGAACTGTGTGGCAATGGAAGGTCAGGGATGTCAGCAATACACATGGCAGGATTTTGAGCTCCTTCAAAGCAGGTTATAAAAAAAAGAAAGCCTTTATATCATGGTTATTGTTGGTAGAGGTACCCCTTTCAAGCTTTTCATTCCTTCCAGCCAAATGCCCAAGGCAATTTCCGATGCTCACAACACTTTGAGGTAAACACACACTACAGATGAGTAAACCAATGCTCAGAGAAGTTTAGTAACTAGTCCCAAACCACACAGGTCTCTCGGTTCCCAAGGTCATGCTGTTTGTTCACCTGCTGGGGCGAACCCTCAGCACATCCCATCCCCTCTCAGGGTCTGCCCAGGAATCAGAGCATAGCACCAGTGGATTTGGGAAACCCACAACGCTTTCTGAAACCATGCACGGCAAAGCTCTTACCTGGTTTTCATTTTTGCTGATGGGTTCCCTTTGCATGTAATTATTTTGCCAAGGTGATGTTAATGACATGTCCACTCCACTTACGCTCATCATCTGTATTGCCGGGCAGACGCGGGTTCCTTCTGGTTTTCGCTGTTTTTCTTCTCCAAAGGGCTCTCCATCATCAGCAAATCCCTGTTCTGCTCATTATTTATGTGCCTGAGTCCCTGCTCACCTGTGCTTTCTGAGAGGCCCTGGCAGATCCAATTTCAAGCCCAGGAAGCTGTGTCTGTTTCCATGTAAAACAGAAGAAGGGAGAGCGGGGAGCCGTCAGGCTGATTATTCATAAGTTGTCCTGCCTCATCTCTTACACGCTTCTCTGTGCCTTCCTCAAACCCATGGAAGATGGCACCCCATCTCATCTAGGCTCCCCTGAGATGAAACAATGGAGTTGAAAACTTATGGCTGTTTCTGGAAAAAGGTGGAAACCAGGTCTCCCAGTTGGCAGTTTCCTGGGGATGAGCTGTGGGGGTGGGGGTGGGGCCCTTGGAAATCCCTAGACACAGAGATTCTTTGTGTGCCCGTGAAGCCAGTGACATCTGCCTGTAGGGATGCTCCCAGAAGTGCTCAAGGGTGGAACCGGAGGGGATTTTAGTTTTTTTCTTCGTGTTTTTCTAAAAGATCTAAATTGTCTGCTACTCTCTGTGTTGCTTCATCAGAGAAGAAAAGGACAATGAGCATCTTAGAACAAACAGAACCCACAGCGCAGCCCCCTCTGTGGCCGGACAGGTGGGGGCAGGTGTGGTGGGCAGAGTGAGCGCCCCTGACTTTCGCCGAGGCTCACGGACCCCCCTGCCCTGGCTCCAGAGGCATCTGGGGTGAAGACTGCGGAGTGGAGCGCTGGCTCCTCACCCACACGCTACTGACCTGTTTTAAAGGGAAATGGGGGCTGGTTGAGGATACATTTCCCATGTCTGAAGGTCTGGGTCACAGAAGAGAGCCACGAGCTCCTTCCGTGAAGCGTCTCTGGACAAATAACACGATATAAATGTCCATCCAAGAATTGTGTCCCTAATGCATGAGTGGCCACTGGGGGGAATCAGGGCTGCCTAGGGACAGAGCACGAAACTTCTAAGGAAAATGTCACGCTTTTCCACAAAGAATCCCAGGTGCGATAGAAAGACCCACAATGCAATGTTTAGGGTGTTTTTGACTCCCTCCCCAGGCTCCAGGGAGTCTGAGTATCTGTTGTGGCCTCCACTTTTGTCCCTGCCCCCTGCTTGGGGCCCTCATCCCTCATTTCCAAAGGCTTCTCCTGCTTTTCAGCTGCATAGACAGCCCCCCCAAACCTGCCCTGACCCCTCCCAGATGCCACTCTGCCCAGCAGAGCCAGCATCCTTCATTTCATGGTGTTGTCAAATCACCACCTCCTCTGACATTCTGGAGTGTGCCCTCTTCCTGGCCCGCTTTTACCTTGAGTCATGGGTTTTCTGACCTTGATTCATACGGGAACCTCTGTAACTGGGGTGTTAGGATCAGTTGTTTGAGTAGGGCACCATTAGGATGTCGAGGGGGTGTCTGGCCGAGGAAGGGGAGCAGTGACAGGACCACACAAAATAATAAAGCATGGAAGATTATACCTGGGAGGGGCTCAAGGGACTGTCTCCCTCAACCCCCTCTCTTCTTTCTTATATGGAAGTGAAAATCACGTAACAGAAAATTAACCATTTTTTACAGCATCCAGAAATTACTCTATTTGCTTTTGGTCACGCCTCATGACTTCGGGGATCTTAGTTCCACAACCAGGGATGGAACCCAAGCCCCTTGCATTGGGAGAGTGGAGTCTTAACCACTGAACTACCAGGGAAGTCCCGAAAATGAACCATTTCAAGGTACACAATTCAGGGTCATTTAGCTCATTCATGGTGTTGTATATCCATTCTCTTCAAACAGTTCTGAAGCATTTCCATCCCCCTAGAGAGAGACCCTGTACCCATTAGCAGTCGCTCCCTATCCCCTCTGCGTGCCCCGACTCCCAGCCTTTGCACACTTGTGTCTGCTTTCTTTCTCTACTGAGGTGCCTGTTTGAGCGCTTCATATAAATGGAGCTGTACACGGTGTGACCTTTAGTATCTGGCTCCTTTCACTCTGTGTAATACAGCCTGTTCGTCTTACAGATGGGAAGTCTGAGCCCAGCCAGGCGGAGGGCCCTGTCCCAGCCCACACGGCATATTGCAGGGAAGAAGCAGACCTTCCCAGGACGAGAAGACATGGAGGCGGGATCGGCAGCCACGAGGTGGAAACGAAGCAGAGTGGGTGGCATGTCATCTAGAGCAGGACGCTTGCTGACAAAGCCCATGCAGCAGCTGGATATGAAATATCTCGTTCAAGGAGCATTGATTGGGCGTCTTCTGGATGCTCAGCCCCTTTCTCAGAGCTTACAGCCTGGCTGGTCCCAAGCACAGTCTTTGGTGGAAGACAGGTATGAGTCCAGAAGCCCGTTTCCTGCTTGTCAGCCCTGGATCCTGGACCCCTCACTGACAAGTGGCTGAGCCCCCAGGGCCTGCATTAGGGGTGGGGGCTGGGGTTAAATGCAGGAATGCAGCCAAGTTGATAAATGTCAGCCATCAGTACTGTTTTCTCTTCTCATTGTCATTACACAAGAAGGAAGCTGCTTCCTTTGGGTGTCTCCATCTCAGCGGTGACCACAGCCACCCAGGAGAGCCAGGTACCTGCTCGAAGAGGTGAGGTGCACCCCCACCCCACCCAGCTTTGGAGAAAGTGGAGGTGGAGGGGCTTCCAGTCTTGGAGGCCGGGGTGGAGGGTGTAGTGGGGAAGGTGTGCTTGTCACCAGGTCCAAGAAGGGACAGAGGAAGGCCAGGCTGGGCTCATTTGTGTCCCTGACACCCTGGTCTCCCTGGGCAGTCCCTGTAAGCCACCCCGGAATACCTGCTTTCGTCACCTCTGCTCCTGGCAGAAGAGACCGGAGCACCCATTTTTCTCTGGAGAGATGGTCCTCTGGTACTCAAGGACCCCATCTCCATGACAATTACAGGTTAAAAATGTCTCTCTCTGCTCCAGGCCTGCGTGCATGTAAATCATACCAGCAACTGTGCAGCCAGCGCCCGCCGCCTCCCAGAGCTCCTGGTGTGCTGGCTGCTTTATCTCAGCGGTGCAGAGAGAGGGGAGCCCTGTCTTTCTGTTTGGAGGAGCTAGGATCGCCTAATTTTATTTATTTTTAATCAACCATTGCAGCATGTTCTCTCTAGTCAGAGGCAGAGCTGGAGAGCAGTGCAGGCACATTATTGATATTCGGCTTTTATTTACCCAGGGAGTTCTGGGGAGACGTAGCATCTCGTTGGCAGAGACACCGGTGGCCCTGATCCATCACCCAGAGCCCTGAATGAACTCCACGCAGACAATACAAGGGCAGGGCAGGGCAGGAAGGCCCCTCGGCCGGCAGGGCCAGCTGCCTCCTCCAGCACCATGGTGGGAAAAATACCAGCCAGGCTAACTGCCTTCAGGCTGCTAGGAGATGACGGGAGCCCTTGAAGGCAGGCGGGCCGACCACCCTGATACATCAGTCTCCTCTGCACAGCTTCTCCTGGACGCCCAGCTTGTGTCTCTGTCCCCATCAAACATGCATGGACGTCGCTTCCCTCCCCAAGGCCTGGCATTGCGCTGCTGTTCCTGACTGCAGGATGCTTGGCAGGGAGACTGGCTGTCCCTTCTTAGGGTGGGCTACGGGTATCCAGGGCCCACTCCCATCACCAGGCCCAGCTTCCAGCAGGTTCTGGGGGCTCCACCTGTCCCCCTGCCCACCTCTGTCCACTCCTTCTGTCTGGAGAACCTTTGTCTTTCTAATTTTCTAGGGAGACCTAGGCTGATGATTTCAGGACCCGGTCAGTGAAGATGGTTTGTGATTTTTCACACTGCAGACCCAAGCAGCCTGAAGGCCCTGCAGCCATCATTCCCTGCAGTGGGGAGGAGGAGTCAGAAGAATTTGAATTCACTGTGGTCCTGCTGGAGTGGAGGGAGAAGTGGCTGGTTTGAGCCCAAATGGAGATAAGCCTGTCTTTTCCATCCTTCTGCTTAGGAGAGAGGCCTGAGTGCCCAGCAAATGACAAGATCCAATATTCATTAGTGACTCCTGAAAGCTATAGAGAGAGGACTCATGGCTGGTGGGGGGGCGGGTAGGGGGGTGCCACCTCCACCCCCCCAGCCATTATTTACATAATAACCTGACCCTCAGGTTACCTTTCATTAACAAACACATGCGAAAACACAGAAGCAGCTGGCGACATCTCATAAATATATATTGTTAACCCCGGTGTAGGCTTACTTTCACTTACTCAGAAAAAGAGGGAGCCCCCTGCTTTGCATAGCCATTAGGGGAGGGGGGCCGGTGGAGGCGGCAGCCACCTCCAGACTGCACTCACCCGAGAGGATGATCTCTGCCTTTGAGGGCCGAGTTCAACCTTCAATTAGCTCACTTGCCTGTGTTCTGGGCTTTCTGCTCCTCACTCTCGCTGGGCTGGGCGTCTGAAGGTCTGGGAGCCAGGGATGGGGCATTTCAGGCCAATTTGTTAAGTGCTTGCTGGCAAGATCACCCTCCCTCCCCGGGCCCTGGACTCAGAGTGAGAACTAAGGATGCTCACACACGGTTCTGAAATGACACACTACAGCTCTCCAGGAATGAGGGCGAAGGGCCACACGGGTCCCATCTGTCTTCTTACCTCTCACATTTTGTCTTCTTCTCTCTGGGGCCCTTGCTCAGTGGGGCAAGGAGAGGTCCTGGGGAATTCTGCCCGTCCTGAGCCGCAGAGGTCCCTGAGTGATGTAGGGCAGGGCACGTGGTCTCTGATTGCCCATCTGCCCGGACTTGGCGATGTCCTACATAGTGGGGTGGGGGGTACATGGATGATGAGGCCTGAGACTGGTCTGGGGCAAGTGAAATTCTGGGAGGACAGGGCTAAGGAACAGCTGGTGAGCACTGGGCCTCTCTCTCCCCTTCCAGCCTCAGAGCTCCTCTCCTTGCAAAGTGTGAATTCACTCACATGCTCCTGGGTAGACTCCTACGGGCTCAGGGCTGAAGTGTGGACACAGGGAGACTTTGAGGTCCTGATGGAAAGGCCCTCTCGGGCTGGAGGGAGCCCCCTAAGGAGGGCTGGTCCTGGACACCCAGATCCCCCACTTGCCAGCACCCACTCATTTCTTGGCTGGCCACACTTGGAGTGGCTGTACTGACCATACTCACAGATTGACATCCAAGGCCCGAGGACCAATTTCTTCATCGATAATAAGGAGGAGGGTTGGGTAGACTGTTCTGCTGGAGCTAGCCAACCTGGGTTCTTTCCCTGTAGGCCAACTGTGTGACCAGTTGGCTAGAATGAATGGCTAACATGAATTAAGCACCAGCATAGGCCATGCATATTAGTTATCTACTGCTGTGTAACAGATTATCTCAAACCTTAGTGGCTCTAAATAAAAAATATTTATCATCTCACACAGTTTCTGGGGGGTCAGGAATCTGAGAGCAGATTAGCTGAGTGGTTCTGGTCCAGGATTTTTCAGGAGGACGTGGTCCAGCTGTCAGCCAAGGCTACATCAGTGAAAGCTTTAATGGGGGCAGAAGGAGCTGCTCCTAAGAGCAGGCTGTTGGTTGGAGACCTTGTTTCCCACTATGTGGACCTCTCTAGAGGGCTGCTTGAGAGTCCTAACAACATGGCAGCCAGCTCCCCCAGTGGGAGTGATTTAAGATGAGGACAAAGAGGAAGCCACAATCCTTTTATGATAAGATTTTGCAAGTGACCCACTGTTACCTCTTCCATACCGTATTCACTGGAAGGGAGACACTAGGGAATTCCCTGGTGGTCCAGTGCTTAGGACTTGGCGTTCTCCCTGCCAGGGACCCAGATTAGATCCCTGGTTGGGGAACTAAGATCCCACAAGCCATGCAGGCAGTCAGAAAAAAAAAAACACAACAACAAAAACCAAAACCAAAGTAAGTCACTAAGTTCAAGCCACAATCAAGAAGAGAGAAATTAAACCCTACTTCTTGATGCGAGGGGTATCAAAGAATCTGAGGACATATTTTTAAACCACCATGGCAGGCATAATGTTAGGTGTTCAGTACTTGTTTTCTCATTTAGTCCTCATAATCATGATTGTTAATCCCATTTTACAGGGGAGAAAACTGTAGCTTAGAGAGGATTCAAGATGAGTCAAACTCACACAGCTGGTTACCTACAGAACAGGAATTTGGAATCAGATATTGTGAACCAGTGCTGCCAATAGAACTTTCTACAGTAATGGAATTGTTCTATATCTGTGCTGTATGGTAGCCACTAGCCACTTGTGATTATTGAACACTTGAAATGCAGCTAAGCTCCATGTCTTCCAGCCAAAGACTACCAGCATACACTTGCAGCTGAATAAGTTGGATTTATTACTTGCTGCAGAGAGAGACCACACACCCTGAGGGATCATGGGGTGACTCATGGACTCATGGGGTGACTCAGCATGGGACGTCAGGAAAAATCTATTATAGAATCCGTCTTTGCTTGGGTGATNGAACTGAAGTGACCTGAAGGAATCATCTGATTCTCATGACTCACTGGAAGTCCTCTCATTTCACAAACCAAGGCTCCAAATGGTGACTTGATTTGCCTCTGACCTGAATGAGCGCTCTTCTCTGGCATGCATGGACCCTGGTCTAGAGGGAGAAAGGACCTTGCCGTTGAGTTGCTTACAGCCACTCAATTCAGGGAATACTCTTTGGGCCAAGGCAACTCCTGTCCAGTGCCACTCAGAAGCAGGTGGAGGTGTGGGCTGCCCTGGCGCTGGGTGAGTCTCAGACTCTGGCTCTGTTCCAAGCCCTCTCAGGAAAGGAGAGGGTGCAGCTGCAAGATGCCCGCGGCATCCGTTGGCTCCGTGGGCTACTCTGGGGCTTGGAAGCTGTGTGTCCGAATCTGAATCCTAATGATGTTTCTGTGCCGGGGGCTGACATGAACAGTGCCTGCCACCACCTGTGCCCACACAGCACTCCCCATGCCATCAAGGGGACTCGGTATTTGACACTAATCCCCCCAAAGCCTTTTGAGCTATTCACTCAGTATTTCCAAACCAATTATGGGGCTCAGAGTTTGCAAAGAGGGTTGACATTTGGGCTTTCCGGCAGGGATACCCTCAGTACCCATCTGGGAATGTGGTAATTTAGCAAAGAGAGAAAGCTTGTGGGGAGGCTGGAGGCAATTGGAAGTCTCTGGTTCAAAACAGGTAGTGTGCTCCCCACCATCGAACTTCAGGGTCCCTTTGATTTGAAGCGGGACAGGTGGAGGAGGTTGGAACCTTCACCAGTGTGGGGAGGCTGTTCCCTCCTGGGAGCCAGCCCAAAGCCTCCCTTTAACTGGGATGGACTGGGGGCAGGTCTCCCATTTGGGCCACTGTGTCCCAGGAACCACAAGTGATTCACAGCTCTGGGGTGATCTGCAGGTCAGCATGACTGGAGGGGATAGAGACCTGTTCCTTCTGGGGGCCTGATGCCCAGATGACTTTCTGTTTTGGTCTGCTTACTGGGCGTGCCCCGGTCTCCTCTGCTGGGACCTCTCCCAGCTTCCCAAGATGGGCAAGACCAAACTGGGACTAACAGGTCCTGAATTCTTTATCTATGTTCCCAGGTGGAAACTCTCGGACCTGGTGTCCCAACACAGCCCCTACTTCACTGCTCTAAAACCCTCCTCCTGGGGAAGGAAGACAGTCCAAAATCTGTGGTCAAAGAGGGGAGACCCCTCTCTCTGTGGCCTCACCTCTCTTCTCTGTCTCTCCCCTGGGGGCCTCTGCATGGCACTGGGGGTGAGGTTGTAATGTAGCCTTACTCTGGAGACCCTGTTCACATCAGTTCGGGTGAACAGAGAAGCCTGTTTACCAGTCAGGGGTGTTTAAGTCCCAGCTCTGTTACCTAGAGAAGCAGATGCACCCACAGGCCTTTCCTGGCTCCAGCTCCAGCTCATCTCCTGTCGTTTCTACCCTGTTGCTTCCATGCAGATGTGCCTGGCAGGTGGGTTATGCCCCAGGGTGGGGAGAAGCGACGTACAGGAGTGAGGCGGCATGCTGGTCAATGCCCAACAACTGGCTCTCTGGAAACACACAAGCCTCGGGGGTGGGGATGTCTGCCAATTTCTGTGGTGTAATTACTCCCACCTCAGCCCGTTGCAAACTGTCATCATGATGTCATTAAACGTGGAATTGGAGAGGGACATGCGGAATTGGCGCTTCCAAGTCTGTGTGAGTGGCTCCAGCACATTGATGGGTAGAAGGATATATGGTCCTGAAACCCTGTTCTAGAACTACCCACCCACACACACCTTCTCCAGGAGCCCCCGGCCTGGCGCACAGAAGGTCTTTTTTCCACCTCCTGGTGTCTTCTGGGCAAAGCCGTGCTGGGTCCATCAGTCAGGGGGGCCTGAGCAGGGGCTGGGGGCAAAGGTGAGCCCAGGAAGGGAACAGAGTCGATGTGGCCAGGCCATCCTGAGGCATCGCCAACCCCCTGCACAGATCCCCTGTTGGAAGGAAGCGTGAGATTTCTAGAAGTGTCCCTAAAATAAAAGGGTAGGGGAGCTGGGAATTGTCCTACCCGAGGATCAATAAGGCTTAATGAGAAAGCAGATTTCAAAGCAGGAAAGGACGCACAGCAAATCCTGGCCGAGGCAATTAGCCAGAAAGCCACTCTGATGGGGGATCTGGTTTCTCTTCTTATTCCCGAGTCCCCTGGCTTTAGGGAATCTCAAAGCATAGGAGGCAAAGGAAAATGAAAATAAACCCCGTCTCTTTCAATAAAGCATAAAGGCCTTGCCTCTGTTGGCAGGAGCCGGGCCTTCGTTTCCCAGACGGCAGATGCTGGCATGAGGTCCGGGGAGGCCGAGGGGGCCAGGAGGGAGGGGGGTCTGGCCTCACATCCCAGGCATCGAAGCGGGAACAAGGACCCTTGATAAACACCCTCACCACTCTGAGCGATCCGACCTGGAGGATGCCATCATGTATTTTTAATCTGCCTCCTCCTCGCTGAATAATGAGAGGCAAATCGTAAGGTTTGACTGGCATTTACAAGGAGGCTGTGAAGGAGGCTCGACCGGGAGAAGATGAGCCGGAGGGCTCATCACGGTTAAACTCCTGGCTCCTGCTTCCCTCCCTTTCCCAGGGAGGCTCTCTGCACCTCCAGCCAGCAGGCCTACCTTTCCAAACAGTCTGGCCCAGTCCTTACTCCAAGGGACTCCACGAAAAGGCACATTTGTCTCCAAG